AAACAAAACATTAATTATGGCTCCAAAACAGGAATCAGGATGGGAAACAGCAGCTGGGTGAGAGAAGGAAGATGGAAGAGATGATTTCTCATTTAAAATACATTTCTTCAATCATAACACTGCAGGAAAGTGGGAACTTGCAGCTGGGCACAGAATTGTGGTCAGAGGGAAGGGAATGAGCCCTGGGCACCGGGCAGCACTGTGTGCTAAGAGCAGGGAGAACTGTGTGGGGTTGGGGGCAGGGCAAAAGATGCCCGTGTCCCACTTCCATGCAGCACAACTGCAAAAGGTTTTGTTTCTGTGTCAGAGTTCGGAGCAGGAAGCATGTCTGTAAGTAAAGTCAAGTGACTTTTCTATTTCTACAGGCTTGTCAGCTTAAAGGTCTCTCCCTCCTCTTTTTTCTCCTTCTTATTTCTCAGCAAGAAGGGACAAAAGAGAAATAGCAAGTTTGTTCACCATCTGAGATTTTTTTCATCCTAGCTGTTGTAGCTTGACCAATGAATCCAGCTTAACAAAAATATTTCCCTTTGTAGGATGAACATTCAAAGACTTCACTGGTCTGCATCCAAAAGTGAGATGCTACTTTGTTTGAATGCCAAGGATTGTACAAAAAAACCCAGTTACACAGGGCATAATATTAATTCTCATGAGGTCTTGAGGAGCAGCAGTCACATACTGCTCAGTGAGACTCAGTGAAATTTCTCTTTTTGCATATTTCCATCACTACGTGTATGGATCTTCCATGTATGTCAGCAGGAGTAGGGGAAAGCAGACTTTGTGTTTGCTCCCCAGGGAAGCTGGACATGCAAAGTGTGTTGCAATGATACTATTACTTCCTGTACATTTATATTTTCTACACCCAAGCACTGATTTGCTCCTTATTTAAGCAACATTTTCTTGATAAATTAAAAAAGCAGCAATAGCCATTACTGCAGGCTATATACAGCCTCTAATATCACTTAAGCATATTACAGAATATAATATCTGGTACTTAACGACTAACTTGCATATGAAAGCTCACATAATGTCTCATAAAACCCTTAAAATGGCTTCAGTTTAAGAGTCTCTTTAAAAAAAAAACACCTTCAGGGAATATTGTAAATGAAGTAGCACTCCAGCCTTAGAAAAAAAAAAAATCACACACTTGCAGAAATTTTTAATATAAATTGAACACATTAAAAATTAATTTTGCATGACCATTTCGCATTGCAGTGCCAATGCATAGTTAAGATAAGGCCTTAACTCTTCTTTGTTTAAAGTAACATGGAAATGTGTCTTTCTCTTCGTTATCTGTCCGTAATTAAAATTTTCATTAATCAGAAATTGGAACCCCATCCTCTGTAATGACATCCCTGGCTGGAGATCAATGAGACCCTACCTGTTTCACTGAGGAAACTTGGTGTAAACTTTTAGCAAGCTCATTAAAAAAAGGCATGACCTTACAATTAGATATGGCTGTGCAGAGCTGCATGCATGTTTATGTCTTATGTTAGTCAGGGAAAAGAATTTTGTTTGCTGGTCTGTTTTATGACACTTTGCTCACAGAAAACTTGTAGATTCTCCAGTGACGTCAATTGTCATCTTTGTAGACTCATCTGACAGAAGTGCTGGCATCAAAGATGCTATAGCAAGAAACAGTTTGAAGATATTAGACTTCAGTGGGAAGTATATACAGAAGAGGCCTTTACCAGTTTTCCTCTTCTGCAGTTTTTTGGTTAGACTCATGGCCATGGTTTTACGACGAGGAGCTCCCCTGCCAGGTGTACTGAGCTCTGTGCTCCATACAAGTGATGACTGCTCTTAATGGCTGAGAAACACCCTAATCTTTGAGATGTCACTGTGTCACAGCAGGCAACAGAATGTTCCCTGGTTGGACTTTGTTGAGATATTTGCTTCTTTTAATACCCAAAAAGTATGATAACTTAGTCCTTTATGTTATTTACCTGTTGGACTTACCTAAGTTTATAGCCACATACTGAAAGCTTGTTATGTGTATAAACACTTCAGAATATTACAAAATTATAATTCCTGACATTTGTCTATGTCAGGGATTAAAATCTTCACAATGTTCAGTAATTCCATTGGAGATGTAGAAGCAGAATAATTTGCGATGTGGATTTCATCACTGCTATGGCTTCATCACTCCTATGGCTTCTTGGGTCAGTAGTGCATTTATATATTTCTTTGGAAGTTAAAATACAGTATTTAGTTCAAACACAGAATCCTTAAGGCTGCAAAAGACCTCTAAGCTCTGAAGTCCAAGTCCAGCCAGCCCCACCGTGTCCACTGACAACGTCGCTCAGTCCCACGTCTCCACAACTCTTGAACACCTCCAGGAATGGGGAATCTACCACCTCCCTGGGCTGGCTGTGCCAGTATCCAACCACTCTTTTAGAGAATAAACATTTCCCACTATCCAAATTTCACTCTGCTAGTGGATGCGCCTTCAGAAGAAGTGCACAATAGAAGTGCTTCCTCTTCCCCTCCCCCCCTCCCCAGTTGCATCTTTACTTCATGTGTTTTAAATGCCTATAGGTTATGAGAACCTATGAGGTAGAGTGATAAGGCTGGTGGGCCATCCTCACCACACTTCATAGCTACATACAACACCTGGGACACAGGGTGCTGAAAGATTCTGTGGTTTTAATTGACCTCTTCATCAAACATACCCATCTACTCTCAGGGCTGATTTCAGGTTGGATGTGCATGTACATCTGTGGCAGTTCTGCAGATACGTGGCAGAAAGTTCAGTGGGAAAATCATCACGTTGTTCTTTATGGGAAAGATTCTTTCTACTGTAACACTGCAAGAGAATAAAAAGAAATTATCTTTCACTACAAGTCAATTTGTGGGACATAATGGCACAATTTAGAAAGGAATATTGCAGACAGTAAGACCACTTGGATTAGAAGTCTTGAATCAGTTTGCAGGGCTATATATTTCTATAGCATTGTGTTTTGTTGTGTGGGGAATTTAATAAGAGATGTAAATCTAAAAAGCATGATGGTATTTCCATAAAATATAAAAGATTCATGTATTATAAATAGATACGATAAATAAATAATTTATGTGAAGGTATATCTGTGTGATTGTGTGTAGGTAGGCACACATTCACTTTTCTTTTTGAACTAATTAGTAGTGAAGTCATCTATCGTGCACTGCCCTGTGACCTGTGCAAGAGCTTTAATGGCATTTCCTACAAAGAGCTGAAGGTAGAGCCTGTTTTGTGCTGAGCTATGGCAGCTCTAACTCATTCAGGTGGGGAATACAACAAGCCACGAGCAGAACAAAGCTATCCAAAGTGCCGAGGCAGCCCTCAGTACCACAGTGGCAAACCTGAGCCCCGGGCATGACACAGGGGCTTGCATAGGCTCCTAACATCACCATTCTAGCAATCTGCTGCACGTTCCTCTGCATCTTTCAGCAGCACCATGACAACGTTTTTGCTGCTCTGATTGACAATGTTCTGCACGGTGTGCCAGCTCCCCAAGAGCACGTGCACTGCTCATTAGGATTAAGTCACACAAACTATCTGGTAAGCACTTAAGGCTATGGATTTCTCCTTGGTAACCTGTTCATCTAAAGATATCCGGCTATACAGCCTCCTATTTTTAGGATAGGTGGGACTCATCTAAATAAAGGCATGAGCAAAACAAAATTGGAGGAGGGCTCCAGAACATTAGAGAAAAATCCTGTGTGACTTCAGTTATGTTATTAACTTTTCCACTTTTGCTGCAGAAGTTGTTTCTGTCAATATTTTACTTTAGCTGTGCTGGATGGGAGGAAGGAGCAGGGTCCAAGCAGATGGCTGTCAGCAAACTGATGACGGCAGTTGAGAATTAGTGTCCAAATACAGTATTTAAAACTTGCTACAGTACATAGTTCCCTGCGTACGCATGCCAAAATAAATCTGGTTTGGAGAACCTTTCAGGATCTTTATTTTATTTTTATTTGGAGCTTATTCTATTAAGAACAACTAAGCAGCAGCATACCTTCGCCTCGCAGTATCTAATATCCATCAGATATTAGATACAGAACCAGGCGAACCAGAAAGCCCTCCCCAGCATTTCCTCACTCCAGCTATTGACTATTTAAGCATCTCTAAGTGTTAAGATGAATGGTAATTGAGCAATAGTATTAATTTGCACCTGTTCCCCCCCCCCATGCGCAGCACTGTTAAAGCCTCTCTTTTTTTCTTCCTGCTGCTTTTTTTCTTCCTCCAGGCAGCCCTCCTGTATTAAGAGATGGGTACCATCACTCTAGGAATATCTGACTTAAAATTTCCAAGAGGCTGAGCAGAAAAGTTCCAGCACCTGAAGCACCTCTGCTTTTAGCAGATGAGTGCTGCAAAAGGCAGTGGCTATTTAGCTTTGGGTCTGCATGTGACTAATATGTTGTTGTAGATACCTGGCTGCACTGAGGTCAGAGCAGGGGCAAGCTGTCTCTTCTGCAGTGAATTAGAGGCTTACATTCATTATCTTCCAATACCTCATTAAAACAGCTTTAATGTGGTGAACGGTTGATGGTAGACAAAAGCTTTAATCTTGTGAATATCAAACACACCTGTGTTACATTTCCTCTTGCGAGCAGTTAGCAGAAACAGGTTAACAAGCTATTTTAACTCCTTAATCTGCTGAATTTGCGTGGAAACCAGACTTTCACCAGTCACCTGAGTTTGAACTCAAAAAAAAAAAAAAAAAGCAGCCCGCTAACACCCCTAATTTATCAAGCTCTTTTTTCAGACTCTGACTGCTCTAGACACTTTTAATCATCTGTTTAATTTTGCACCTTTTTTTTTATCCTGATATATTATATGCAGGTTATACTTAAGGCCCAGATTTGCCCTATTTTTCTTCCTCATCTGACCTAGATTCAAATTTACACACTGTGAAATAGCTAATAAATCCCCATTAAGGTTGTAAAAGGTGAAGGTTCAACCAATGTGCAAGTCATCAAGTTCTAATGTAAAACTGAATGAGCCTTGATATTAGCAGCAGCCTCAAAAAGTGAGGCTGAAAGGCTCTACAGGTTTCCAGCTCTTTTTATGGGAGGCCATGCTTAAATCACCTAATCCGAGACAGCTCTGCTAAGCCCATACAACAACAGTGACAACAACAGACCTCAATAACAGCGAGGAAAAAATAACGGCCTTCTCCAAACATGGGATGCTGGTGATTTTAATTTGTACCACCAACACACTTTTTATTTCCCAGGCATTCCATATATTTTACTGCAAGTAAATACAGTTCAATAAATATTTCCTAATAAATACTACAACCTCTAAATACAAACATTCATGTGAAGCCGTCATAAAACTTTTCTTTTGTGTATCAATCCATGTTTCTGAGGCAGAGGTGTTTTTAGTCTGCTGTTGGAGGCTCAGAAAAGTACTTTGTCAGTCCAACTTTTTCATCTTACTAGCCATAGAAAGTATTACAATGATTTACAGAGACATGCTGAAAGTAAATTACGTTGTAAACGCCTGTCCCTAGGGTCGACAAAGAATCACAGGGAAAAAATGCAAAAAGTTTGAAATTCCCAACAGCAAAGGTTGACAGGAAAATATGGTGTTGTTTTTCTATGAGTAAAAGTAACTTTTATGTTGTGTTTTCCCATGAGAAATTATAAACTTTCAAAGGAATTTTAGTCTCTTGTATGCACACATAAGAGCAATTTATCTGGTACTGCCCCAGTGAAAACACTGTTAAGACTTTAAAGCTGTTAGAACTATGGCTGAACTTCATCTAGACTGCTACTACTTATTTGTTCTTGCTGCCTCTTCTTGTCAAAACATTTACTCAGACTTCGAAGAGTTGCAAGTTGGCAACGTGTTAATAATATTAGAATGCATTTGTGTCGGCCATGTGGCTGCAATATTTGAGTAAATTCATCACTTATTTAATGAATAATGAATTCACGAGAGTAGCTATGGAGACATAGAACCATATGTAGTAAATTAAATGGGAACTTGTCAACGTACAGTAACAGCGAATGTCACCAAAGTAGTTTTGTCTGTTTTATAGCAGTGGTGATGCACTTACATTGAGATTGGTGTGTGTACTTTCCTTACTACGTATAGTTCAGTCACATTTTTTCACACCTAAGTTGTAACAGTGATTTCCAACAGGTGTGACGACAAAGTGAGAATTTACACAAGTTTCTCTTTGGTAGCAAAGGTGGAAGAATTTCAAGATATTCAGCCTGCAAGTAATTAACATTTTGAAAAGATAGTTACAGAACTGCAGAGGTTTGCTTATTATTATTATTTATAAGTCACAAAAGAAGTGAATGAAAATTACTCAGATTAGTTCTCAGCTGCCCTAGAACACAGTGGAAACTCCAGACATCAAGGATGTCTTCCAAGACAATCAGGAGGGAAAAATCAGGCCTAAAGAATAGCAACAGCTCTTCAGGAAATTAATAGGAAATTATGAAAATAGGGTGGTGAATAATTTCGGAAAGTTGGGCCCACATTTACATTAGTATTCAGAGCTGTTAGCAGCTTTTTGGACATCAACTCAGGTCTCACTGGTGCTGTGTGCCCCATTTGCAGTGTTCAGTGGTTAGCGTTACATCTAAGAGTTGGAGGGAGTTTCCAGTTGGGGAGTTAAGGAGGTATTTCAGGTTGGCTGATCTTCAGCTTCCAACTCTGACCTGTATCTAAAGATCTTAGAGAATCCGTATTCATAGGCTCCACCAACAAAGTGGTGAGAAAAACATAATGTGTAACTAGAGCTGTAGGTTTGGAGCTGTGTAATGCTAGCAAGCATACCATATTTGTGCGCATAGCTAAGTTTTACTAACCTGGAAAATATGTCTGGTGCAACTCAAGTAGCTGTAGAATTTGAGATCTTGCAGAGTTGACCAGGTAACTTCGTATTCTGTGCTGACATTCTACTTTTGGTGTAGAAAGAGAGAACTTCCTGATGATCTAGCCAAAGGCTGTTCATGTTTATAAGAGGCATAGCTTCATTGTAATCAGAAAGAATAAAAAGCATCATGTTACCATATAAAACACAGAACTCCACTCCTGATGGCCTCAAGGCAGGACAGGAAATAGTCTTTAAAAAAAACAAAAGCAGAGCTCACATAGACTGGAACTATCTTCATTTTAAATTTATTAGAATCATAGAATGGCCTGGGTTGAAAAGGACCACAGTGCTCATCCAGTTCCCACCCTCTGCTGTGTGCAGGGTCCCCAACCAGCAGACCAGGCTGCCCAGAGCCACATCCAGCCTGGCCTTGAACGCCTGCAGGGATGGGACATCCACAGCCTCCTTGGGCAACCTGTTCCAGTGCCTCACCACCTTCTGGGGGAAAAACTTCCTCCTAATATCCAACCTAAACCTCCCCTGTCTCAATTTAAAACCATTCCCCTTTGTCCTGTCACTATCCATCCTCATAAACAGCTGTAAGAAGCTGTTGGAAGACTACTACAACCAGCAAGTATCTAGCTTGTAATGTATTCTGCTTAGGACATCCTTGAGGCTGCAGAAATTTTAAATGCTCTAAAAACCCAGAGACGTTTCAAGCCATAGAGAGTTCCAATCTAGTCTCTTTTCAGGCATAAGACTCTCCAACAAGTAGTTCCTGAAGAGCTAGTCTGTGCCACTGAGCCCAGTGAGACTGCTGTCATGACTGTATTATCCACCCACTGCCCCTCTGTGCACAGTAACCCAGACCTCATTCTCCTAAAGACACAAGTCAGACAGTGGATCCATTTTTACAGACAGCTCCTGGGATCTTCCTCCTAAGATTCATTACAATGTAATCTCAAGAACCCATGTCACACCTACAAAACTTTCCCTTTATTTTTTCAGCTGTTGAGTTGTGTTACATCTCCTCATGTCACGTCACGTTGAATAGCATTATTGCCTTCAGAAATGACGGGATAGAGCGTGACTTAATGTGTTTTGAATGATGTGACACTATGTGACATATGTCATAAAATCATTGTCACCCATCAAAAACAGTGACAGATCAAATTCAAACAAATCTTACTATATACTTTTAGTGGCTACCCAATCAAGTAAAAACAAGTGTTTCAAATTGTGAGCCAAAAGCGTAGGAGTGTGACTCATTTTCGGTCAGTTCTTATATGCTTAACTGGTTTTACATTTCTTCCACATTTCTTCACAAGTGTTTTATCCTTTTAGTGGGGAGGAAACTTGTCTAGTTCATTTATATTGTTCAAATATTGTTCGTATTTGTCAGTCCATTATTTCTAAAAAGGTTTTGTAGTCGTTTCCATGAATCATCTCCATTTACCTTATCTTTCCCAATGCTTTTGAGTTATTACTGTGTTATGGAAGTATCAATATTGTGGAAAAGGTTGAATTTGTCATCTTGCAATGCAGCAAAAGGAACTATCAAGGAAAAGGAAATAATTTTCAGTAATTCCTCATCTGATGAGTACAACGTCTATTCAAAAATACCATACTAGTTTATTTCCACCCTACATATCTGCTCACTGAATATTAATAATAAGAGATGTAAGACAGGAGGGAGAAAATTAAAAATAGTTTTGCAAATGAATTGCTTCATCTTCAGACATCTCCCATCTTCAGCATGGGAATAAGCCCATACAGCTTCTCAAGATTGCAGTTGGGACAACTGGCAATATCCAGCAAGCAGTACCAATGTATTAGTATTGCACTATTTGCAGAGTCAAAGACTGAAGCTTTTCAGTGGGGAAAGGCATCATCATACAGTGAAGGGATGTGAATGATAGTGTGGGTGCCATCCACCATTGTGATCACATAAGGGAACCCTGAAATGTCATAAAATTCCACTTTGATCTGTTGTCACTACTGTTGGTTGTATGGAAAATGAACACGTTTAATTAACTGCCTGACCAAAGCAGCTGTTACCTGACATAAAACTTTGAACACTGATGCCCAGCATATCCCACTAGGTGTTTGAATGTGCCAGTGGCATAAGACTGATTATATTTTTACTGAATGACACAGCATGATTCCTCTCGCAACACGTTCAAGTCAAGATCTTCTTTAAATCCTTCACAGAGCCCATTGATGCTCCAGCCCAAGTTGCTTAATAATGCTGTTGTTCAGCCAACAGGATACACCACACATCAAAACGAGTCTGGGCCAAACCTGCTTCTTTAGCTGTTTTTGTTCTACAAGCATTCCTGCTGCCTACACCATGGATACGTTTGGCTTATGATTCCCATCACTGGTTGTAGAAGTACTATTTTATTTATATTCAATTTCTATCATTTATGGCAGATGGTTATTTACCCTAATTTTTTAAAGTTACCTTGGCTGCAGAATTTCAAATCACAAGCAAACTATCCAAGTCAGAGGCAACTTGAAGTTCAGTTATTTTCACCAAAGTTATTTTCATAACAGAGCTCGCCCTGTGCCTGCAAGTCTGCACACATGCAAACATCACATTTTTATACAGTTTTCTGATGCTTGGAAGTACTTTTCTGCTCTACATTTCTCTACACATAGATTTCTTTATTTGTATGTAAGTATATATAAAGTAAGCCTTTTCCACATATATGAAATATTTATGAGTTATTATGTTATTTCATTAACGAAAAGGATACCCTGCACATAGCAGAAGATTTTCTAAATGTCATTATCAAGTTATAAATCAAGTTTTGAAATACAGTAACCTCTGGACGTGGAGAATTCTCTCTCTCTTAGTACTTCTAATACTGATTACCTCTCCATTCCCCTTTTGTAGTAATTGAACAGATCATTATGATGGGAAACAGAGGTACAGCAATAAAGTATCGGCACAATAGAAAGGTGCTATAAAGAAAGGGAAGAAGATTACTCACCTGTATCAGAAGATTCCAGGTTCACAGAGGAAAGATCCACTAGGGAGGGATCTTTAGAAAGAGATCCTTCCCCAGTTGCAGTCAGCCCTTAAATGGGGTCTAAGAGAGGTGGAGCCAGGTTGCACCCCTTCCAGTCATACAGGTGAATTGCCTTCACCTGTGCTCCCAGGGCTGACCAGGTCCTTTCCTCAGGTGCTCCATCAGTGGTTCAGGCTGTGACTCAGCAGTTCCCATGCACTTTTCTATGCTGTAATAGCCACAATGTGTTGTAGTAAGCTAAGAGTATACACTGTGCACAGAAGAGGGCAGTTTCTCAGCCAGAAACAAAGTGGCACAGCCTCACCAATTTCAGAAGAGATATTCAGGCTTAATATGTGGCCATTAAATAATATCTAACTTGCATACAGCATTTTCTTCCACAGGTTTCAAATCATTGCAAGAGAAATAGACCCCAGTCCTGCAAACATTTATGTGTGCGTAACTGTGCATAGGGGAATAATCCCATTAAATCAATGGGATTACTCGTGTGCATAAAGTTAAGCATGTGTGTAAGTGCTTGCTGGAGCTGGGCCTGAGAGAAATGACAGGGTTTTTGAGCCACTCATAGAGAGGATGTGAATGTTCCTATTCTGGTTGTGTAGCTTCAAACACTCCTCTCAAAGTCAAGTGATATTTGTGAAGGAAAAAATTGCCCTTTTTTTCATCAACTCAGGACATTTTAAGAATCTGTAAACAATCAACTGTCATAACACAAGCACAGCTTATAAAGAGGTCTCAGTAAAGCTGAACAAATCGGTTATGGTCTGAATTCACTGACAATTTGGGTGCCTACAAGGCCCTATGACGTCGTATCCTTTTGTATTTGCAAGTTTATATAAATGGACTTGAATCTAAAGGTCGTAAACTATGTGTACATGTGAATCATGCTTTATTTCTTGATAATCTTGATAGTCAAGTGGAAGTATAATTGAAAACTGAAAGAAGCAAAAAAATAGAAATAGCAATTATGAAATCAGGGGGGAAAAAAGCGGTCCTGTTTGTACATGAAGAGAAACCAATTCAGCCTAAGTCAGGGGACACAAAAGTTCGCTACGTAGGCAGATGACTGAGTCAGAAATATTTTGGGAAAAGAAAAATGCTGTGCCTAAAAAGTCCTCTTATCCAGGGAACAGCTAAGGACTTAGGAAGAAAAATGGAGAGAACTTCTTATCTATAGTTCATCTTCCAAAGAATCATAGAATGGTTTGGGTTAGAAGGACCCTCAAAGATAATCTAGTTCCAATCACTTGCCTCAATTCTCAACCAGAATTTAAACACATCAGTTCTTAGGGCTGGTCAGAGGCAGATAAACCCAAGCAAGGATGTATCTGCACATCATATTCATAGCTCCATAACTGTTACATATTAGGTGAGTATCGCCCAGAGATCGAGAACAGGTGATTAAAACTGGAGAAATTCAACTTACCCTTTCACTATTTTGTTTATTGAATAAACCAGCGATTTACAGTATGTTGACTCAGACCCTCGTGGTGCAGAGCAGACCCTTGAAAACAGCCAGTCTTTGAAATAAACACACAAATATTAATATATAAATTATTAGCATTAAATATCAAATATAAGCATATATGAAATAGCAAATGTGAGTGACAGTATAAAGCATAGGGACTAGAACTAGCCTGACCCCTATATATTACAGAAATAAAAGTAGGAAACTGTGTGTGGTCTTCCTCTGATGCTGTACTCAGGATTTTTATTGCAAACACCTTTCTTTAAACACCCATTCAACATGCATCCATCTGTCAGGCGATGTTTTCCACAGCAGTGTTAATGTGCATGTGCCCCCATCCACTTTGGTAGTTCGCACCTTTAACTAGGGCTGGAGCCAGAGTGAAATAAATAGGCTTCCACGGTTTGAGTACGAAAGGCTAAAAAACTGTGAGGGATGCTCCATTAAAAAGAAGGAATACATCAAAAAACAAAGGACTGAGGAAGGACAGAATGCAGGTTTGAAAGGCAATGGGCTTTAAAACCTTTCTTGCAGATATCTCTTCCAGAAAGTAAGAATGACTAATAGCTCAGAAGCAGAACAGAAAGTAGTACCCAATGAACACATGCACTGTCTGAAAGAAGAACCCTTTGCTCAGCTCACAAGCAGATGCTGTACCTTAGCTTGTCTAAAAGACATCTGGTTTTAGATTGCTTGTCCGGAAAGGCTTAAGAAGACTTCTGCTTAAAAAGACTTGTTAGTTTTAGCAAGAGCTCCTCAAAGAATGCATCAGTCTAAGCTCTGAGTTTCCCTACAGCATTTTACCTTTCTTCTTCAGAAAAAAATAAATAAATCAGTGAGATATGAAACTTGAAAAAATACACTGTGAAAGTTACCGCCTTAATGAAATATTAAAAATGCATCAGGAATACGGTTCTGGCATTAAAAATAAACAATAACATTTCCTCCTAGTTACGGTTCACTTCAATTCTTTAAAAATTAATTATTACCTCTTTAAATATTTGATTAAATTAGATTTGGGTGGGTTATCGCTATCCACAAAATACATGTTGTTGTGTACGAATTTGCTTTCTTCAGTTTCTGACATGTAGGGGCGTGTTGTATGGCTGTATGATTATTAGAAAACTAAATCCAACAACTCAGTTTTGGCAGTTTGCAAAACATATACTACAAAGTATGTACTGAATCCTGTCACTTTGGATGAAAACGCAGTATTATGTTAGAAATCTCTAATAAAAGAGGAAAAGTAAAGCAGCAAAATTACATTATACTTGGGACTTTCACATCACATCTTATCATGCTGGTATATCTCACGTGGTAGAAAGGCCACATTATTTTTAATAATGGTTAATTAGGATTTGGGGATAATAGCCTAGAAATCATAAGAAAATGCTAGACACATAAAGCCTGTTCTGCTCTCAGTGCATGAGGATTTATAACTACGTAGATAGCAAGGAGAGAATAAACCCTGTAGCGTGTCCTAGGAGAGGTAAGACAATTATTTCTCAAGTATTTTGATAAAAGCAAATTAGTATGTCCAACTGGATAAATAAGAAATGCTGTTGGGTGACTGCAGTGCTGATATAGAGTTATAAAATATTAATTTAAGTGAAACACGTATTATAAAGGTAGTCTGTAATGATAATAACAATAAATCTTTCTTTTCTCTCCTTTTGCCTATGTTTTACTCAGAGATTTAGGGCTACTGGGATGATGGCTTGCCAGTCCAGTTCCCCTTTATAACCAAACAACCAAACAATAGCAAAAGGTTTCTCAGTCATTTTCCTTTTTCCCTGTTGGAGGAGAGGATTTTAGAATTATGAGAAAGACTGTCAGTCCTTGGCTTCCATACCAGTATTGCTAACAGGAAAACACAGAGGGAGAGGGTTTTTCTTGGCAGTGGGGATGAGGACATGTACCAGCAAAGAGCAGTGTTGCGACTCAGTTCAATCTGCCTAGGTCAGAGAGGAGTCAGCACAGATTTTGGTCGTAAGAGACCCAAACTAAGTTTAAACACGTGATTTAGGAGATAAAAAAAGATTCAATGTGACCTGTGCCAAAACGTCAGTAACCCAAATTTTACTCATTAAACTTCCCTTTAAAGATAAATTATGCATAAGCTTTATTTTAGGAGGTTTAGGTTAGATATTAGGGGGAAGTTTTTCACACAGAGGGTGGTGATGCACTGGAACAGGTTGCCCAAGGAGGCTGTGGATGCCCCATCCCTGGAGGCTTTCAAGGCCAGGCTGAATGTGGCTCTGGGAAGCCTAGTCTGCTGGTTGGCGACCTGCACACAGCAGGGGGTTGGAACTGGATGAGCATTGTGATCCTTTGCAACCCAGGCCATTCTATGATTCATAACTGAAACAGCCAAAAAGGTGCATGTTTTCAGAAAGATCAGCTGAAGCGAAACTTTACCTGAAACCAAAAGTTCTTTCTGTTTTGTGCTTCTTCAAGAGAGAGAAATGACTGAATTATAGAACCAAACAGCATAGAAGAATGTTTGTCTTTGGGGAATATAAATTCTTTTTTCAACTACATCGAGAATATCCAACTTAATCCTTGGGAAGCCGACATTAAAAAAAATAAAAATAATTTAAAAAATTATTCTTTAAAATTAATATGACGATATCACAATGCCAGCATCTGGCTCCTGACATTATACATGTCAGATGGCTGCTTTGAAATGGTAATTGACTTTGTAGTAAAAATAAAGAGTAGGTGTCTTTAGACAAGTGTTCTTCCACATCCTTCATTGACATCCCATTGGTTATGCAGAGTTCAGACTTCAGTGTATAAATGCCTGTTGAATTGGTACAGTGGATAGGATTTCATGTCGCAATATGCATCCTCTCATTCATTAAGATGCACAAGTAAATAATGCCACTTCTCCTTTGTAGGAGAGTGCCTATCAGGATATATGCTTTATGCCATATACATCTGATAGCAACTCAGCTTCATGCACTGCTTCAAACAGCTTTACCTTGTACTTACTTTTTCAAACGGAGATGCCTAACTCTGCAGAAAGACTGAGCTTTTGGCATGAAATGCACCCATCTATCCAAGCAGCACAGTCTTCTCAGCCTAAAATAGATCTAGAGTGGACTGAAGAGGCTGCACAAGGCATTCATCTGCCCTTTGCTGTGAAGTAGAGACACCCAAATAATAGCAGCAAAATCCGGAGGCATATCAACCATCTTGTGGAGAATAAGAAAGAAAGTGCCTGGAAAACCAGCCTGCAGATTGAACTCTCTTCCTGCTTCAGAGCCATCCTTGGGTGCTTCAGTTCAACAGCTATATACAGCTCTGAAGCACTCAGAGTCGTAGGGAAGGAAGCTGGGCACGGGCAACAGCAAAGGAAAATCGTTTTCATCATTATATATGTAATAACCCGAGCTTCATTTGCATACTTTGATTTTCCTGTTCGGTAAAGTTTGATCCCTGAGGCACTCAGTCAGGTCACTTGAGAGGTGTTGGGAAGTAGCACGGAGAGGCAGTGGGGAGAGCTGGCCCACAGCCAAGGAAGCTGCCCAAAATTGGAAATAAGTTGTTCTTGGTTTTTTGGGGGGAAAAAAAGGGGGAAAAAAAAGAAAGAAAAAAGACAGCTTTGGATGGGAAGGCTGTTTCCACAGCCAAGAGGAATTATTTAAGTTGGCTAATGTAACACGGCCAGTTGAGTGTTTGCCTTTCATATCCTTACTTGCCTGCCTCCCTTTCTCCTCGGGGCAGTCTGAAGGAAGGGAAGGAACAGACAGATGTTCCTGGCCTGTGCTTCTGGGATGTGAGAGCACATCCAAGAGATTTGTCACTCTCCAGAGGCACCCAGGTGGGAACTGGGACTCACTGCTGGGTTACGAGGGTCTCGTTGTCAAACTGGGAAGTTGTTGATGAAATCCCGGAACGTTTCCAACTGCAAAATAAATTGGAAAAATAAAACAAAAAAATGAATAAATAAAAAAACCAAAAAAAAACAGATTTATATGAAGGGAGGAAGGTATTCATCTTCTCTGCCACTTCTGTTGCTTTTTGTTGCCCTTAGAAAGGCAGGCTGGTCCAAACAAGAAGGAGGTGGCTTCTGGCCATTCCTCTTCTTCCCTTCTTAAGGTAAAAGAATTAAAAGCGAAAGGAGAATTTTTAGTCAGTGGTTTCCACAAAAGACTGGGATCCTGTTCTGCAAACCCCAAATGTGATGCCAGGCAGGTCCCTAAGGAATACCAGTGTTTCAGTGGCCCATGGTCATTGGAGGTTCGGGTTAAGGGAATGAATAGTAGGCAGCAAGTTGGCATCAGTTTGTGCTGGCCTGTTGGGTCTGTCTTCTGCCGCTCAAGAGTACTTATATCCACATAGTAATGATGTAGATTCATTTGTAGTAATGAAAACCTCATAAATTTTGGTGTGGCTTATTCACTCAGACCACACAGACCATGCAAGATAAAGTCAAATCATACAATCTAATGAAAAGTAGGTACTGGCATTATTCCATCTGGCATAGAACTGTCCTCAGACTGGAAAAAAAATGTCACAGCATTCTACTCCTCAAGAGTAAGCACCAGTACTTAAGGAAAAGGACATTGATTGTTTAGTTTTCGTGATACCAAACCTATAGGTCATTGACAAATAGACATCTTTCCAATTTGTAGGGGATAGTGCAAAGTTGAATGTGCTTGAGAACCATCAGTAAATATAACTAGCTACAAAACATGAACATGGTTGCCATTAATGGCTCAGGATAGAGCAGATTCTGATTTTTTTTTACTCCACCTTTCCTCTCTTCCTGTTGTCATGTGAAGCACACTCCCAGCCTGAACACATCACATAATTCCTCTTTGGTTGTCTCGTTGCAGCTCATATGTCCTTCATTCTCACACCATATTTAAAATCACAACATAATTCAATTCTTGTAGGAACACTTACTCCCCTGTATTCATCCCAGAGAAGGAGGAATTTTTTTGTGATTTTTTTCTCTTGCAATTCTCATTCTCATGCCCTCTTCCCTCTGCAGTGACAGTCAGTCTTCCTCTGATATACTCAAAAAAAGAATAGATGATAACATGTTGCTGTTGCTGCTGTATTTCCTCGTTATTGATACATCTCCTTTATAGAGGGGTTCTTCCTTTGGACCTCTTTTTCAAGCAGTGTGGCCTGCTACCAACAGGTTATATTCAAGAGCAAAAACAATAGTTAAGACATCAGACCTTAAAGTTACCAGTCCTTGATAGGATTGCAGAAAAGAAATTGTGTTTCATGATGTATGAGACTTAGGCCATTTAAAAACATGTGAAAAAGGTAAAAAAGGTCTTTTTGTACAATAATTCTGCGTGGGTCATACCCCATTATGTTCAAGAGCTTTTCTGTCTTAGCATTCCCAAATGAAGTTAATGTATTCACTTAAATCTCCATGCTTGCTGTCCCTTCTGTCCTTTCAGCAGAATCTCCTCCACTTTCCTATCACCAAATCTAATCTCAGTTATTTCTGCTTCACCTCCATCAAGCACACGAATGCAAAGCCCATCCACAACCTCAAGTCCCCAAAACCAATGAGAAGAACTTTCTTTGTTCTAAAGATAAGAGTATTTTAGCATTTACTTTTCAATCTATTTTTGTATGCTTGAAGTTTGGAGCTCTTGTTGGGATATCGCTCAGCTCTATAAATAATTACCTTGTTTACTTTATGCAGAAATTTTCTTTTATTGGATAGTAGTAGTCAGCAATTGGAAGTGAACTCGGAGATCTAACTCGGTGTCTTCTGGAAGTGATCTAACTGTTGGATCAGTGTGTCCCTGGCACATTTGTAGAACAAATTCATATGTCGGTTTCCACAAAGTACTGGTAGTGTCTCAGCTTGCCAGCTCTTCCGTTCTCCTGCAAATGAAACAAAATTCGAACTTTAAATCCAGCCTCTGCAGCCTGTTCCAAGATTGAAATTCAAATGCGCGGAGCAGAGGCCACCTCTTGAACATTACTTTTGGTTAATCAAGAGCTTAGATGGACGTGCTTTTTTAGATGTGAGTTGGTGTTGTGGGAACCTGACAAAATCGTATCAATTTGAAAACTTTCAGATGTGCCAGTAATGTTTTGAGAAGTACTGATCTCTTTTGGTTTCCATAATTTAAAACACCTTCTGGATCAGGTAAACTCAACAGACTGGCACACCCAGTTGAGCCAAGTTTTCATACTTTATATCTTATATACTGAATAAAGAGAAAAAAAAAAAAGAAAATGTTCAAAAACATTTGCTTAGCAAGCCCCACATTCATTGCTGTAGTACCTGCACAAACTTCACCAAAAACAGTGGGACAGCAGTTTTCTTTTAATCAAGCCCTTAATTTGCATCCTGTAAAGAGTTTCAGATTTTGGCTGATCTGAAAGCCCTGCCCCAACAGGGCTGATATATTTCACAGAGTACTATAAATAATATTTTAAAATTCAAATAAATGAGGTCTCCGAGCATTTTTTTTTCCTGAAAAATTTTACTATATTTATGAAAATTTAAATATGCCTCTTGAGAACCAAAACCATCACAGCAAAGAAAACAACAGGACCAGACACGAGAGCACTTGTATTCTGAGCACAAAGACATTTTAAAAGAAGACAAAGCCTGACATTTGCCCCATTTTTAGGTGAACAAAAATACATAAATAAATTACTAAATAGGCTTATTACAGAGTCATTCTGCTTTTTCATATACCTACAACGAAAATGAATCATATTTTAATGCAGGAGAACCAGGTGACAACATATTTGAATTCTGTATAAGATAATGAGCTGTATTTTCATTTGAGATGTGTCAAAATAAAATACCACTGGGAGAAAGTGTGTCTTACTGAATCCTTTATAATAGGCAACATAACCAGCAATGTGTGAAACCAGAGAAATTCAAAACCACATACTAAGAATCACCTTTAAAAGGTGGCAAGAAGCTTTTAATTCTTTCCAGCTCTTCTTTTTGGGATAGATCACAGAGAGGAGAACCCTCACAAATATTTTTTGGGGTGCACTATGGGAACAATTCTTCCATGGCAGATATTGATATTTTTGTTAATGAAATGGCCACCTGATGGTACAAAACCTGAGCTGAGCTGTCTGAGATTTGGACTGTGCGCAAACAGACAGACCTCGAAACTCGCTCCAATGAAACCAACAGTTTTCTTTTTTTCTTTTTAGGTATTTCAATCACTGCCGAGTCTGCGTGGCAAAAAAAAAAGAAAATTAAAAAAAAAAAAAAAAAAAAAAGAAAAAAGGTGGGTTTTTTTGTTTATGAACATATAAATGAATGAAACATGAACATGCCTCACTGTTCTTCCCAAGGTGGATAAATGACCATCGTATGTCACTCTGAAACGGAAAAATCCTAGGGACCTACAAAGTCATGGAATGGCTTGGGTTCAGAAAACCTTAAAGATCATTCAGTTTCAGCCTCTGCCTTGGAAGGGACACCTGCCACCAAACCAGATTGCTCAGGGCCCCATCCAACCTGGCCTTGAGCACCTCCTGATACAGGTCACCGAAAGCTTCTCTGGGCCACCTGTGCCAGGGCCTTGCTATCCTCTGAATATACAATTTCCTCCTTACATCTGTTCTAAAATCACCTTCTTTCAGTTTAAAACCATTAGTCCTTATAAAGTGTTTCCACAATTATTATAAGCCCCCTGTAAGTACTGAAAGTCTTCCTTGTCTTTTGACATGAGTCTGTTTAGAGCAAAAAACAAACAAAAAAATTGGGCAGGGTCTTGGACACAGACTGTGTTGCCTTGCAGCACTGCACTGCCCTCCGTCAGTGGCAACCTCATATCATGCTAGAGATGTTCCATCACCCTCCTGCACTGCTCACCTCTCTCCAAACTTAGATGGGTGACAGATGCTTTTTCCCCTCCACCCCATTTTTTTCAACAGGATAAAAATAAGTGATTTAAAGGAGTCTTTCTCTAGCACCCAAACAGCTAGCCCTGCCTAATATTTGCAGTCTAAATAATCGCCATATGTGGCAGTGGAATACAAGTTTGTGGGCTTTTTTTTGTTGTTGTTTTTTAATAGAAGTTAATCCAGCTTTGAGCTGGATTAATTCCCAATGAGGCTTGGGGACAGACAGCTGTTTCTCTTCTTTTGCATGGGAGCATTGCCCTCAAAAATCCACCTATACTGATCAGCTTCCCTGATGCGCACAAGTTGTGCCTATTTTTGAACTCTTGTTCACATTCAGGGACAGCATTGCAATAATCTCTGCTTCTCCAAAAAAATAAATAGTAGGAAAACATAAGAAGTTAGGACATTTGGAAATCTTTTGTTGACTATTTAGCCATGGAATAAGAAAGGCTGCAAAGCTCCCATCTCATCTGGAGAGTTGGGAAGGAGGAATATTTGCAAAGGAGACACTGGACAGGAAAATAGGTATTAGTCTGTAAGGGAACAGCAGAGCCAGATAAATCTTGTGCTGATTGTTAAGACTGAAATCGCAAAGAAACATTTTTAAGGAAACAAGCCTTAGAGTGCTTATTTACCCTGCAGCAAGCAACAAGCATTGGTGAAAATAACAACAGGAAAGAAGAGGGGCAAAAGACAAAACCAGATGCTATTCTGAACAATTAACTTGCATTTTCCAACTTGCTAGTAATAAAAATTGGGTGACTGCTCTGTATAACCAGAGTTATACACGCTTCCGTATTATTCCTTGGCCTGAGTACTCCCCAAACCGTATCTTCATCCAAACAAATTATATTTTGTCCAATAGACAAAAGTGTCTATTTGAGAGTGTATAATATCCTATCAGCTAAGTTTGGTCAGAGAATGTTATTTCCAAAGTAAGGCTAAAAATCATACCTGAGGCTTGAGGGTAGAAGCATTTGCTTGGCAAGATTTAAATATCTGTCTCTGCTGTTTTGTTTTTTCAAACAGATTATGTAAGCAAGTCAACTCATACCTAAAATGTGTCTCAGTTTGTGTTTGTTCTGCTTTTTTATTGCCACATTTGAAAATTAATAATTCAATGTTCTAATATTAGCTGTCATCTTAGCTGTGATAAAATTAATAATTCATCAAACCGGTATCAAACAAATGGCACCTTTTTATGCTGGATGAGAAATATACTTTGCTATATTGTGCAGAGCTAAATTTGGTGAGATTCTCCACTTTATTTCAAATGAAATCATATTTTACCAATTAGTATATCATTTTATCATCTCTATGCACTCTAAATTATCTACAAGAAGACTTGCAGCAGCATAGGGTGTTTGCTTTTTTTTTTTTTTTTTTGGCAACCTGTTTTTTTTTCCAGATGAGCTGCAAGACAAGAACAGTGTTTTCTGACCAAGCAATTCAATCATTTATATGCCCTTTCCTTCCAATAATGTGCTCCCAGGGAAAGTATCCACCATACCTGCAGTGCTCTGGCCAAATTCCAGTTCGGGTAATTACGTTCTGCCTGTCTAAACTCTGCCTGGAGTTTCATTTGGAGGAAGCATTGTTTGCTCCCTGCTCATTGTTGTGGGCACACGGATCAGGTGCTGGGCTCATCTCTGCAGGGGCTGGCTGGGCTCCAGACCTGGATGAAGCGAGATGCAAGAGCAGAGCAGCTTGTGCTACATTTGCAAAGCATCAGGAGATCTTTGGAGTGAGAGGTGCTGTGTAAATGGGAGTTCACTGATGCTATCTGGGGTGCAAATGCATCCCTGCTCAGAAGCTTTATGGGGAAAAAAACAAACAAAAACAAACAAAAAAAAACAGGAAAAGGTCTCTTGAAAATGTTTCATGTGTATCCTGACACGTTTGAAATTCATTTTGCTACAGCATGCATCTTCCCCAAAGGGTGGATTCATAGCTTAAAAGATGTTCAGGAAAATGTCCTCGAAAGAGGGACAGCATCAGAGGTTGGAGCATGGACAGGCTGCAGCTTGTCCAGGACAGGAGGTTGGGTACTGCAGAGCCTGCTCCTCTGACACACTGATCTGCCCTTGGGGTCCTGCAGCACAGGGTAGATGTGGGCTGCAGGTGTGGGGACAAGGAGGCAAACGGAAGACAAGTGCTCACCACCAGTAGCTCTCATCATGCAATGATGGATGTTCCCAGCTTCCCAGGCCTCCTGTGAACACCCCCTTGTGTGCCCTCACTTATGCTGCCATTACACATTCAAAACTGGCCTAATCCCTTGCATCTGAGCTGCAGCATCCCAAGAGTGCTAGGTGAAGCCCTCAGCAGAGGCCTGAGCCCATCCATAGTGCTACCAAACCCTGGAAGAGCAGCCAGCTCTTGGTGACTAAGCCATGGTGGAGGAAGTTTATAGACATAACGGGTGCCCATCAAAACAAGCAGTATGGTGACACATGAAAACACCAAACTAACTTCCAGCTACAAGAATGCCGATATTATATGCTGCCAGGATGTAAACCAACACCCAAAATAATCTTCCCCACTGCATCCCATTTGTTGCAATGCTAAAATTACTGACCCCTCTCTTTTTACTAGTTAGTACTCAATCTTCCCACGAGTTCACCTCCACATTCTTCCATCCTTTCTTCATGTTTGCATTGCAATATTGCATTACTTATATCGCGTTACACATCTGCTTTAGTCCCCATCCTGCTTCTTTTGGCACATCTGTGCACTGCCGTTACTCACCTGCCTCCTCCTAACGCCGTGATTGAGCTCCTGCGACCAACTTTTTCTCACTTCATCTTTCTTTCCTTTTCCTTTCACTGCTATTCAGCTATCATCTGGAAATCTGATTGGGTGATGGGGGCTCGTCATCAGTCACTTACGGAACCTTAAAGGGACAGAATTTCTAATGGAAATTGAATCCAAAAGGTTAGATTCCGTTGGGAAATTTCAAATTGACAAATTTTCTGAATGGATCTCTCCTAACCTTGCTGTATATAATATATGCATTTATTGAGCTTAATTTTTGGTTAGTATCAAAATGTATTGATCTGCAAGATAAATATTGACTTGACCTCGCTTTCTCTCAGTCTATATTTACTTCTTGAGTCAATAAGTCTAGAAACTGATCTGACAGGAGTCAATAATGGTTTAAAATTCTCAAAATAGCAGCTTTGCTCTAAGGTTGCAATTCCTTATTTTAAAGTTACTGCCTTAAATACATAACCACTCAGGAGAAGTTAACACTTTACTGCACAAAGCCACTGGGGAAACACTCAGATGCCAGGAGACCTTGAAGCGACTTCAGGCCAACTGTGCCATTTCAGCACTGGCCAAGCTGTATTTTTAATAGTGACCTACTGCAGTCCATCTTTTGCCCTGTGGAGCCTAAAAATGTGAGCTTATTTCTGGAGGTTACGCCTGCATATCACTGATTGGATTTGTCAGAGCTAAACTGTCTTCAGCCTTGGGAAAACGCAAAGCTTGCTAATGGGTAAAGGTTGTCATCACGAACATGCCCTCTCTGCCTTAATTTCTCTGCTTTGTGAGCTGGTAATTAGCCTAGAAAGATTTTTAGAGTCAAATGGGATTGTATTCTTTCAATTTCTTGTAGTGTGGTAGACATGTCTCCAGTTCATGTCTTCATCCAGATTTTTCTCATGCAGTAACAGTGCTCTTCGTGATTCTGAAGTTCAGCTTCCAGTTCCTGGGGCTCCTGTTTGAGTTCTTTAGCAGATAGTTTGATCACTCCTCTTAGTTTGAGTCCAGTGCTACTTTAATACCTGAGAAAATACTGTAAAGTGATGTAAGGAAAACTGTAAGCATCAGGTATTATCCCATTCAGTAGATGTTTTCCACTTCATTAAAGATAAGCCAAGGAATGAAAATGGAGAGAAATCCCTCCCTAAAAATGGAATTAAAGATCACCATAAAATACAAGGAAGCAACAGGGGTGGGTCATGTATACTTGTATACATGTATACAGATACTTGAAAAGTTGAAAGGGCTGGGAAGCAGAGGGTGGAGGGTGAAGTCAAAAAATTTGTCATAGGAAATTTTCTTTAAGACTTATTTTCCCCAGATCTTAATACAGGTAGTTTTTAGAGAAGACAGTGTGCTGAGCAATAGGTTCTAATTAAAGCAATCTTATCCTAATATTCACATATCGACTTATTTTACTAGTAGGTAAAGCAGGAAGAGAAGCATATGATATACATATAATATACATAGGTCTGATTGAATGGGAAAGAAAGCAGATACTTTTCATTCTCTCTGCTAATGTTACACAGAAAGGACTAACAATGGCAGGAAAACAGGTTTCCAAATTGAAGAGGAGAAAAGGAAGAGCAGCATTCCCACTTACACAGAGGCAAAACCCCTTGCTAAGAGGCCAAAATTCCTCACGGCAGAGAAAAACAGCCACACCAGAATATTAACAAGCCTGGAATCACTGCACAAACAGTATGAGATATTGTTTCCATTCCTGGTCAGAAGGAACAAGAGGAAGATTCAACCATCCAGCAGGCATTCTGTCCTGCCGTTACCTTTAGTGAAACACAGAGAGTCACAGCCATGGAGATTCCCCAGTCTTTAGACAAGACCTCCTGTCCTGGATTGTGCAAATAGTTAATGCACTCAAACTGGAGCAATGGAGCAATTACAGCTGGGAATACAGAGAGGGGTTGAAAGAGATGCCCTGGCTGCCACAGTTGGGCAGCCCCAATCTAAAAGGGGATGATGGTTCCTAGCTGGGATGAGAAGACCTTTCCTAGAACTGAAATCTCATTCCTGGTGGAAACGGAGGGATGGATTTCTATGAAAATAATGTTCTGATTTTGAGAATGTGTTCTCTGATGTGAAATCACTCTGCTGAAAATTTTTCAGCCAGCCTCAGTGATTTTAATTAAATAGCAATGGCCGTGTGTTGAAATTCACAGTCGCCATCCCTGTTTGCTTGTGGGTGTTGAAAAATAACCTTAAAAGAAAAAAAAAGTTTACTCTTTACTCAGCAACTTGAACAGATTTCAACTAATTTTGCAGTTGGGAGGAATGCGCTCAAAGACAGAAATTTTCTTGACTGAGATCATCAGAGCCCCGAGCCGAAGCAATTGTGCAACTGAGAAAAGTATTCAGGCTAATTTCACAAGAATTATTTACTCTTTATGCTATTAATTCACACCTACAAGGAAAAAAAAAAAAAAAAAAGCCACAAAAAACAAAAGGTTCAGAGAAACTCTCTGTCTCCCCTGATAACTTCAAGATGCTCATCTGAACTGGGGCCTGAATTTGTCCAGTGAGAAGTGGAGAGTGCTCATCCAAAACCATTTAACCCAGCAGTCCTCGATTTGTCCCTCTGCACCCGCGTGGAGAGATGCTCACGGAGGGGAGAAACTGATTTTCCTTTTCCGAATTCTTTCTAATAAACAAAAAGCAGCTTGCAGCCTTCCTCTTTTGTGTGAGTGAAAACAACCCCCTTTTTATTAGTGATATTTTTTTAAATATTAGAAAAAGGGACAATATGCTAAAAATATGCAGCGAACAAATATCATCTGTACAGACTGGAAGAGAACCTTCATAAATTAACCTTATTAGTGCATTACTGTAAGTGAATGCCAAAAAAGCTCCTAATTTGCATTAAGATAGATTTTTCAGGTTGGCTGCATGATTTAATTAAAGAAAAGATTAAGAATCATTAAACAAGCTGCTCTACCTTGCAATAACAGAATTCATATCTGATTCAGGTTAACGAAAACACAGATGGTGATTCAGTAACTGTTGAGTTGCTGTAACAGAATGAAAATGATCCCATTAGTTCTCTGGAAATGTGAGGGAATTTGAAAATTAGCATGCAGATACATTGTATGGTGCTAGACAGCTTGGTCTGCTTGGATCATCACTGATTACTCTTTGTTTGGGTTGGCAACACTGAACTTAATAAATGAAAAAATGTTCCAGTATACCACAGTTGGAAACTGTTCAAGGTTGAAATAGGTGTGCAGACTTTCAAGAAGAGAGAGTTAAGTAAACAAATGTCAATCAATTTGGGGCTGGCAAGGTTTTTTTCTTCCAGAATGTCTGTTCTTGAGAAGGAAGTGTCATCAAAATTGAAATCCTTTCCTTGATACATATGTTCGTGTGGTATTTATTATTACAAAGGTATTTTAAATGCATATCGTTCATTTACAAAGAAACATTTTGACACCAAAAGAGGAGAAGAGCTCAGAGAAGAATGGATCAGGTTATGTGTATTATTGACAAAGAAGTCAAACTGTTGCTGCAAAAAAAAAGGTTATAACAGAAGGAGATGTAAAATATAGGTAGAAACCCTTCTAAATATTTCAGCGAATTCAATAAGGCACATAAAATGATCATTGTCAGCCCATCTGGGGAAGCAGCGCCTGGGCAAGTGCAGGAGTCATTTCACTCAGCACATGAAATTTTCGATGCACTCTCACAGAGCTAACTGTATTATGTAGTTTGTAATACCTGAATCACAGCAACCTTAGGCCTCCAAGCATGAGATTTTGATGACGAATCTTGCTGAGAACAGTGCACATAGGAAGATCAGCTCTGCGTTTCCCAATGCATACAGCCACTCATTTTGCTGCATTATCTGCCCGACAGCAAAATAGGAATGTGTCTTGTCTTTCCCAGAGGTTTTTTTTTTTTTTCCCTTTTCTTTTTGACTTCTTAATTTTATTGCGAGTGACTTCGAGGCCAAAAGGTTGTGGGTAGGGTGTTACAACAGAAAAGGGGGTTGTAACACTCAGACTTTTAGGTTAAAATGTTCTCTGCTTATCACGTGTTAAGATCTTTCAGAAATGATGTAATGCACCAGGGACTGTGGTGCTACATTTGCAAACCACCTTTTTTTTAATCATTAATTGACATCATATAATAATGTCCAGTTCAGTACTCCCAAAGTGATGGTAATTAATCTTGTGGGGAAAAAAAAAAAAAAAAAAAAAAAAAATTTTTTTTTTTTTTATGGAAAGGTCATAAACAGGTTGTTTTAGGTTTGACTGGATTTTAACCATCTGATCAAACTTTTTTTTAGCTTTTTTTTTTTTTAACATTACCTTTTTGTTTTTTAACACATTTTTCATGATTGTATATAACAGAGATATCCTCAGCAACTTGGCAGTGTTTGAAAGCACGTGTTATTGCAAACATGCGTGTCTTAGTTACAGAGGAAACCTCTGTTCTTCCATGCCCAGCACTTTTTTTTGAATGGCTTTAGAAACTTTTTGCTACGTGATATACTGCAGAACATCTTTTTTTTTTTTTTTTTTTTTAAATTCTCTCATTTCAGAGTCATAGTATGGTCTCAAACAAGGTAAATCACAAGGAGAATTATCATTGAATATTTTCTCAGTACTCCACCTTGTCCTATAGCAGTTAAGTGTTCTGCTTCCGTACTGATTGTACTGTTTGGATTTTTCATCTGCTTGCAGCTCCAACTCCTTTCTTGGCTCTCTGAGCAAGAATGAGAAGGAGAAAGACTGAATTGTGCACAGTTTTCCCTGTGAAACTGTACGATAGAGGAAGATGTTAAGGGATAGTAATGCTGTGCACGCCAAGGCAGTGTTGGTCGAAAAGGATTGGATTACTGACTAAAGAGAATAGATCAGGATATTAACTGCCAGATATCAAATGATCTCAGGATATTTTGGTAGTTGCTGCTGCAAAACCAAGCAGACCTTTTAAATATTCTGTGTTATTTCCATGAAAACCAGACAGTGCAAAAGAGGATATTTGGTTTGGTATTTGATTTATGTTAGTGCATTTTTGTTTGGATGAGAACTGTGAGAAGCCGGTGGTTTTGGTTCATGGGAGATCTGGCGCATCATTTTTTTGGTTTTGATTCAAGCGGGTTCACATCCCCCGAGTTTCACTTTGACTTTTGAATTTGAACAAATCCAAAAATTTCAAAACAAAACCCTGATGGAACCGCTAGCTTTCACATGGTTTCCACCCAAAATTGTAAACTTTGCCCCCTCTGCAAATGGAAGAGCATATTCGAAGAAATACGCATTCCAAATTGCATTAACAGAAGTTATTTTTAAGTCAAGAGAGGAAGATGACCCAAATTCTTCAGATTTCTCCAGAACATGGGGCCCAAAAGTCCAAATGACCTTCTCAGAAATCCAAATTGCAATGAAGGTAATCACACACGTGAAGAATATCATCCCAAGGGTTTGAGTTTTCTTTCTCGAGAAAACACAAATACATCGCCCCTACCTCTACCATTATTTTGCATTGGGCATTTCAACTGCGGGTTAAACACAGTAGAATTTCTGGACAAAGCTCTGGCCAGAAGATGCCATTCCCCTAAAAGAAGGTTTTCTCACATTCTGTGGGGTCATCTAAAATGGAAGCTTCAGCAGAGACACTTGGATGCTTGACAGGACCTTCTTGTAAATGATGTGTCCTTGGCCAGTACGAGAAAACCTCCCAAGTGAATATATCACAGAAAATCAGGCATACAGTTCTGGCCCTTGTTAAGAAAAATAGATAATGAAAAGCAGAGAAACCTCTGAACATTCAGAAATAACTTTCATAAATATTCTCAAAGGAGATGATTATATATTCCAAATCAAATACCTCAGAGACATAGAGACATACGTATTCCAGTAGGCTCCCTTCTTAAAAGTATTATTCGACATTTTCAATTTATGCTTCCACTAAATCTTATTTATCATCATGCTTTTCTCAGCTGATTAAACCCAGATAACAGTAACTTTTTTTTTTTTTTTTTTTTTTTTTTCCCCAATACTGGGTTTACACACATCTTCAAAAATATTTAATACTTTTCTACTGAAAGTTTATTATGGACATCAATTAACTTACAGTTCTTTGGTGTAAAGTAATAGCATTGCATTTACTTTTCTCTCTCGCTCTGAGTCTCCCATTTGCTCTTTCTTTCCTGCTTTTGGAAGATTTGATTTGGTGTCTTTGGTTGTGGAGTCTCCTCCTCTGGAGATGTTCAAGACCTGCCTGGATGCCTACCTGTGCGACCTGCTGTAGGGAATCTGCTTTGGCAGGGGGGTTGGACACGATAATCTCTGGAGGTCCCTTCCAACCCCTACAATTCTGTGACTCTGTGATTCTTTACGGTGTTCGGTACTTCCAAGCAAGAAATTACAGAACCTAGCAGCTTTAACCAGGTTAATGCTGCGCATCTAGCTCTGGACACAGAGCTGACATTTCACAGGAGGCTGGAATGTTCTCCATTATCTCTGTAGAAGCACTTTGTAAGCTTGGATGGGATCCAGTTAAGGAGCCAAAAACAATACTGTGGAAATTACCTGTCCAGTCAAGTCTATAAAAAGTGAGTCACAGATAACATAAGCTAAAGCCAGTAATTCCTTCAAATAATCCATGAACGTACTGTAAGTTGAAAATGAAATAATTTAGAGTAATGAGGACGTATTAACCTTTCAACGTGAATAAATAACAAAAATCATAGCTATGTTTGTCTGAAAAATGATCAGCTTTTGATACTGGAGCCAGTCTGATTTGCCATGTGTCTGGGACCTTGCACATGGCAAACAGCATGCAACTTTACACCGCATCCTGAAACACCCTCAGGGGCAAATTATGGGACCCTGAGAAGCTCCCAGCAGCATCACGCAGCGCTACTGGATCAGACCTCGGTATGTGTTCCCATGACACTCAAAGAAGGCAAAAGAGGCCCATTTTCCCAAGTTTGTAAACAGAATGCAACTTACTTCAAGCAAAAACGGTGAGAAAATTTCAGAGAATTTTTTTTGAAGCATCACGCCTCGTCGCTCATGGGATCTGGGAAAGTAACTGTGTTGCAATAAAGCGGACCTTAGGCTCTTTATGAAACAGGATGGAATGTTTATATTTGACTATTATGGTGATGGCTGTTATTGAAAACAAAGAGTGAAAAAAAGCAAAGATAGATAAACATATTAATTATGTGTCAAACCACAGGATACCTCTTAGGACACTGTGATGGGAAGACTGAAATACTGCAGCTAACTTTGCTTATTTGAAGAGTATTTCATTTTGGGCTTTATATTAATCTTTAGGGAGAAATGAATTTCAGAATTAGTATTTGATGTGGTGACCTTCTGAATTTCCTCCTTACGTTTAAGTGAGGGTGATATCCATCCAGCAGAGAAGCGAGGTGGTGACAACACATGTGATCCTCACTTACATGAACCTCCATGCTTAGGTGAGCACTGGGAATGAGTGTCCCTATGTCTAACCTGCACTAGAAGTTACTGAGCTACTGAGGGACAAGTATTTCCCTGCCTTCATACCCTACTGAGAGAATTTTAAATTCACTCAGCTCATTCCCTGTAATTTCTCTCAGTGGCCCAATAAAAAGCATCATTTTCTGTTTTTCAAAATCAAAATTCAGAGGCAGAAATGCAGCCACATTAGAAGGACAGAAATACCTTTTAGAGTCCGTGTTCCAGCATATAGAAGAAGGCCTCCAATTAAAGCTACTCTCTGGTCAAGCTGGCGCTTCTGTTTTAATTGCACCCTCCTGTCACCTTGGGTATTATTTTTATTTTTTTCAGCACATGTGAATGTCTCACAGCTCCCCAAATGAAATTGGGGCTGTCAAGTGATGTGATGCTGTGTCACCATGTAGCTGATGGCCAAGAGCCAGCTCTGCCAGCACTCTGCTTTGTACTGTCCGGGGGAGAGAGCTGATTCTTCAGCAGCGTCTAATCAGTTTAAAACAAATCTGGAAGATGTTACTAGTAGACGAGATGAGATCCAGACCACAGCAGCCTCTGCATACAAAGAAGTGAAGGATTTCTTCTGAGAACAAAATTAAAGAGGTGGAAAGAACACTTGGCAGTTTCAACATAGTAATGACTGAGAATAAGAAGGAGTGTACTACTGGTTGAGGAAATGGGACTACTGGTACCTTGAGAAAGTGCACACAGATATCAAGATCTCAGATCTGGTCAGCACTGGAAAATTTCCCATAAATTCATCAGCTCCTGGTTAATTCTTGAAAAGAAACCAAGGCCAAAGAAGTTGGAAGGTAAAGATGACACATTTATCAAATAAATCACAGGAGGTATTAAAAAATGCATGGTTTGGATTTGCGTAACATCTTCCATCTGAGTTCCTCGAAAGACTTCAGAAGCTGTGTGCTTTCTGCCCCATCACAGATAACACAAAGGTCCCCATTCATCTTACCAGTGCCTCATCTAGAAACCTCACAGAAGGCCTGGATCACACAGACGTACTAACAAAAGAGAAACTCCAAAGATTTTCTTTGGGCTGTTTTTCTGGAAAAGTTCATTTCCTTTGGACACCTTGCAGTAAAGGTGTGACACACAGAATGATGGCAGAAAACCAAATATTTTCCTGCCTGCAGGCACCTGACCTGGCTCAGAGATCAGCATCCAACGTAACATGACCAAGACCCACTTTTTAGTTCTTGCAGGAATTGACTGAGAGAGCAAGTATGAAACATAAGTACCTAGAAGGGGAATGGAAATAGTTAGAAAAGTGGCAAAAGAGCTGCTGGCACCTCTCACTGCTATGTGAAGAGGTGAGAGAAGGAGGCATCTCTGGAGACACATTTCCCAAACATAAAGACTTAAAGCAGAAAACAGAAAGTAACTGCTAGCTTCCATTTGAAACAATCACAGTTCTATAGATCAGCTATTACCAGGAGGGAAAAAAAAGAGTTGTACATCTATAGGAAAAGCTTCCACCTTCAGCATGCTGTAATTATGAGACTGCATTTATTCTCTGCTTGTGACAGGGAGGAACAACAGCTCCGAGCAGAAAGGAAATGCTTTCCTTACTGAGGAGGCAGAGCACCAGGATGTATCCCTCCTCCTCATGAGAAAAAAAAAACCTCTTCAGACATTTTGCAGCATTTTGTCCCATCATTTGCTTTCTCTCGGAGATCTATTCCCTTATTTCCTTCACTTTATTGTTACCCACATTGCTGATCACATGGGCAATGGCTCAAGTGAGTGAAAGGGAGCAGAGTTTATCCCTCAGCCTGCAGGGCTGCATCTATTAAAGCTTGCCAACTTCAGTTGAGCAAAACGTGGTGAAACATTCTTTCACCTTACATGGGAATTAACCCAAGATCTGAGCCGAGAGAAATTCTCCCACTTCTCTGTAAAATTCTGTAATTCATCTCTTTCACTTTCCATGAGGATTTTTCTCACGGTCTGTGAAGCAGGTCAGATTACCTTAGATATTCTGTCAGTAGCTGAGCGGATCGGGTATTATAAGCTCTAATTTATGGTCTCCTGTAACATACTGTATTATAAAATACTGAAAGATTACAGATCCACTTCAGTTAAACCCCTAAATGTCTGCTTGCTTAGCCAAGCATGGCCATGGAGGCTTTTAGTCCTGCAGGAACCCTGGGCTGACATCTCCTGGGAAGTGCAGGGCACAGAGCTTAAGTTATCCCTGTCTACCCACTGAGGACCTGAGGCACACTGTGCTCTTTTGGACTCTTGGGTTTTTGACCCTCTCTTGTTCTACCCTACACTGCACACTCAAACCCACTCCACGAACCCTGATGGCCACAAGATCCAAAATTTGAAGGTTCTGTACCTGCAGTACTAAATATCAGTGTCCTAGCATCACCGTACAGTCTTTCTTTAGCTCAGGGCATTGCAGCGTGTGTTAAGAATTGCTTATTGCAGCGTGCTTTATGAATTTCTTTTGGCCTCTTGACTTCATCCATTCCTACTTTCACATTACTCATCTTTTTCTCCTCTCTTACTCTTTCCTCATTTTGTTGCCCCATCAAGGGCAATGGGCAGGACGTGGCTGTTGAGAAGATCTGAAAGTTTTTGTTCCCTTCCACCTTCCACGCTGCTGTCACCAAAATTTTAGGCTGTTCACCACAATACCTCGGCAGGGCTGGCAGCCTCTTCCACTTTGGTCCTTGCCTGTCCCAGGATGTGACCCCTCAGGTATAAAATACCCTCCAGCAGCTTTGTATCAAACACAGCATCAAATCAGCTGTGAGTCCAAGAAGCTGCTGCAGTGGCTGCAGTGAGAGGGGGGAAAGAGGACAAAGTGCCAGAGCTCCCCTGGGAAGTGCTCATGGAGAGCTCAGCTCTGTTCTCAGCAGAATCTTCCCATAATAGCATCTAACACCATCACTGACACTAATTACTGAGAAAGCAAGGGGGGAGCAGGCACATGCTGGGGCAGGAGAACCCTTGGCTGCTCTCTTCTTCTGTTCCCACCTCAAAACAGCCCTGGCTGAAGGCACGAGGCCACGCCAGCTGCAGGCTTACCTTGGGAAGCAGCAGAGAGGATGCTCCAAGCTTGGCTGCGTCTCTTCATTTGGATTAACACATCTTCCTCATCTCTGGGAGATGGTCTCAAAGAACAACTGAGTTTGTGATGAGGAGCGTGGGCTGATGGATTCTGCATACAGTTCCCTGTGAGACGACCGGCCTGCAAATAAAGACCTGAGTCTGCAGCATCTTGTACCAGCACAAAGCATACAACTGCACAGAAATCCTTTTCATAATCAGGAGGAAAAAGAGAGAGAGAGAAAAAAAAAAAAAGCAGCCCAAATTCTTAAACATATTCAGACTCAGCTGGAAATCGGACCAAGAGATGGACTAGCTCTTACTTATCCCTGAGGCACATTCACCCCTCCATATAATTAAGCTCTTGGGCTGTTTTGTTAGTGTTGAGAAGCAGGCTTTGCCAAAAGTCATCTGGCTTTCTCGCTTAAAACAGTGACAGGTTTTTCCCCCTCCTTGCTAAAGAAACCTTTCAATTTCATTGCTTGTGTGCCTTAGGTATAATTTTTTTTTTTTTTTTTTTTTTTTTTTTTTACCTTTCACAGTGTTTTTTTCCTGCCCATAGAATTACACAAAAATGGTCATCAGTGCTCCTGCTGAGAAGACCAGCCACTCTGCACATTGCAGAGAATAACTTTAATATTTAAAAAAAATAAAGACCATACTTCTTTTAAAGATCTTGCTCTAAACAAACTGAATTATTCATGCACAGAATTGTACAGCATTAGAACACCTGTTTTCAATCATGCATAATGTAAAATCACTCATTACCTCACAAGAGCCTCTACATCTCCAGCAATCAAATGGCATTGAAACAGCGGAACAGGTGCTTGGCAGGTGGATGCAAACAGATGTTTTGGGCTTGCTTGTCTTTTCTTGTACAGGTGTGGTGATCTTGTTTTTAGCGGCGTAATTGCTATTTAAATAGGTGATATTTAATTCTTACGTGATTCAATATTTATTTTTGCTTCTTCAGTTCCTTTTTCCACTCTGCGAACTGTGTAGGCTCCAGGCAGCCCATGAGATGTGCAAAGGCTCTGAGCTGTGAGGTGGGGTGATGGCATTGCATTACAGTTACTCTGACTTTCAGTCCACAGGTCCTTGCCCACGACGCTTTCTCCCTTCTCTGCAAAATCTGTGCTTAATCACTGCGAAGACCACCTCACTCCCAACTATCTGACAGTGGACAGGGGCCAGGGTATGTTTCCTGAAGGAGATCTGAACAGTGGGTATAGGAGACAGAATAAATAAAAAGATTTGTTTTCAGGCAGTGAACCAGTAGTTGTCCAAAAGTACTTTGGTTCAATGTCTTTCAAGCAGTCATTACTAGTTGGCCAAAACAGACACATTCCGAGTCTTACTTTGGATTTCAACAGGGGCAAATCATTACAAACATCTTTAAACTTGACATTCAGTGATGGATAAAACATGGGGAGAGTTTTTCACACTACCAAGTCACCTGTACCTGTTCCTGCTTTTTGTGGTCCGGCATCTTAGGGAAGTAAAGATAAATATCAGATGCAGTGAGCTGCATCAGTGCTTCATTCAGATGGGTTAAGAGCAGAACAGGTTTTCATGGTTAGCATACAGTGCTAATCCATATGTAGGGTGTAAACAACTGACAAATGGTGTAGCATGGACCTGAGCAGTAAAATTTTTGGACTAAAACATGCCACCATAACATTAGCCCTGATAACACCTACAGAGCATGACTACAAAGGAGTTGTTTCTTTCTTCTGCTAATTTGAATTCCTAAATAGAGAGGAAAAAAAATGTTAGTCAGAGCTTCTGTAGTTCTTTCCTCTTCTCCTTATGATCTAGCTGACTGTGGAGAGAGCAGTAAGCAATCTGATACTGCGACTGGAAATGCTCTCTCTTAGACAGTCTGATATGTTGGAAGCACAAACACGTGTAAAGCAGTTATGTATGCACACGTTTAAGATACTAAATATGATAATAACTGTGTTTACAGAATTTGGCCAGCATCAGTTCTTATGCCAGCACAAAGAACACAATCTACACAGACAAACAAATCCAATAATTTCACCTCGGTATACCTAAATAATTAACTTGATTGTATTTTTCAGCATCAGATACATCATTTTTGTTCTTTGAATATAAGCATCTCATTATTTCCAAGCAAAAACAGCAAAAGAACCTGGGAAATTAGGGGATTTATTCTGATTTTACCTCTAAGAAACAGGTGCTTGGATGCTGGAGTAATAAATAGGAGCAGTTAATGAATCTGTCTTGAAGCAAGTATGACAGAATTTAAATGACACAATTACCTTAACAAGTAGGATAACCAAGGCTGATAACTATGCCCATATTTGTATGTGTATCTGTATACATACAGCTCACACTTGCATGGATAAGAAGTACATCTAGCATTAATTTATGTGTTTATTCATGTGTAGCTTTTCAAATATGTATAAACCAGAGGGAAAAATATCTACTAGTACAAGATAGCTTTACCTATTCATCCTGAGCACATGCATTGCCACAGGACCTCCTCCAGAAGCAGCAGATGCTTGCAGTGAGCCTTCACACCAACATCTCCTGGGCTTCTCTGGTTTAGGCTCCAGAAATCCTCCCTCCAGCACGTGTCCTGGGAGGCTGTGAAATTCCTCTCTTTCTGGGTCAGAAACGTGTGATTTCTAATGTAACAGAGGTTACTTTAAGTGAAAGAATGGCACAGAGAAAACAAGGGTTGAATCGGTGGACACAGGATGAAATTGAAGCTCAACAAATGCTTCCCAGATTCCATTTGGGAATCATTTCTGACCATTTCTTTGGTAGGAAATGTAAACACATTTCACAGAACAGGTCCACCAGCACTCTTTCTTTGACCTCCCACCCAGCCCCAGGTGCTGGAGCTCATCTTCATCCCAGTATGAGTGCGTTTTCAACCTTTCCACAAAGGGCTGTTTGATGTGGAATGCTGCCTTCAGGAAACGGAGCCGCCCTCATCTTCACTGTAAGAACTTTTGACCACTTTTCGCTGCAGGACCATTTCCCACAACCTTGTCTCCATGACTGGGCTTCAAAGGATGCTGTGCTGCTCATCCCTTTAACATCCTCACCAGCCATGCTGCTTGGATTGGGAGGGGGAGCACTTTTTTTGTGCATTATCTTTCAGTTCATGCCTCGTGTTTTGTTTCTGTCTCAGCTGATGGCAGAGGCAGCATGGATTGGTCTCTCCAGGATGCTCCTGATCAATTTTCTTTTCTCGTGAAGTATAAATTATTAACAGCTGCCAGGCACACGGAAGCAATTCACTCTCCAAAAGCTTTCCCACCAAATTTTCTTCACGTTTCGCAAAAAATTCTAGGCAAATTAACAAATACCTTCAAGCTTTTCCCCCCAAAAAGATTGATAGAGATATAAAATCAAGGTAGGATCAGATTGGGTAGGCATAGAAGTCTTAAGCCACTGTCAGAAAATACTCTAGCTGAGGTTACACAGGATTTTTTTCTCTGTAATTTTAGATAGTGGATGTTGTGGGGAGCTTAGGCAGCATCTGGGAGAGGTGTAACCTGTGCATGCACTGGACCCCATGCACTCAAATTTCCATTGCTTGAAGGAGTGACGCGATTGCAAACCTCAGTGATCTCCTGCCCTGTGCTCCCAATTCCATGCACAATATATCAGCTTTGCAGTGGGATGGATCAAGCCCTGTGGATTTCCCACACTGCAGCACTATCACTCCCTTACAACATGTGGGGAAAAGAAATTCTGTGATCTGTGTAACCACTTAGATATGGCCTGTATTTCTGAAACATGGTTTCCTGTTCCCGGAGAGCCAAGCTGCACAGAAGATAAAGCACTGCAAAATTTGGGCAACATCCCCTTTCACATAGCTTCTGCACCTCTCTGAATATGGGTTCCCTGCAGGAACCAAACCTGGCATTGCAAACAGGTATCCCAGTTACCAGGTGTGCATATTTATGTTTGCATGTGCACACATATGCAGTTAAAATACATGTACCTAAAATGGAAGGAGGCACTGAACACCGTGCCCAGCACAAGCCCTGCAGCCCGAGCTCAGTGGGTTTTCACCCAGCAGCTCCGCTTTCAGCTGACAGCTGCAGATCCCAGGTGGTCTGACATTTGAGATAGGGCTGCAGGGAGAGTGGAAGGTGTTTGAGAGAGAAGGGGGCTGTGAACAGCACCGAGCCCTCATCCAGATGGAACCGTTCACCAGATAACCTGAGATACTCTATTACCGTCCATATGTCTCCCAGGTCTCCAAAGGCCATACTCCATTGATTTATTAGAAATCTGCTTTTTTCGGCATGGGTTCTTTCCAAAACAGAGTATAATGTGGGATTTTAGTATCATCTGAAATGCTCTTTCTTAAAAATTAGTTCTTCACTTTGGAAACGCTTCACCAGACTAGAAAGCAAATATTTTGGGATGGGTGCCCTCTCCTCATGTACCCTTTTAACAAGTTTCTTCCTGCCACAGCAAAGAATAAAACATTTTCTAGGGCATTTCTGTGATAAATAAATGACTGAAGGCACAGTACCAATGGAGCAAAAGCCACCATATGGATATAACTATGCTCACAGTCTGCCTTGTGCCTATTTCTTCCTTAGCATATAAGCCTGGCAGAATTATTTTATTGTTTTAGCACTGCAAACAGTTGTTATTAGTGTATCTTATTTATAGTCGGTTCTTTGCAGCACTGTAGTAATATAGAAAAATATCAGTTATTTCATCACACTGGTGAATTTAATGAACCTGAAGGTGTGTGTTATTTTAGCACTTGCTGCAGCTCCTGTGAAAACCCAATGGTGCTAAAATCTGTAAACCTGTCACTGCTTAAGTAATAACCTTGTTAAAAGCATCTTCATTTAACTTATTTCAGCTTTTGCAGAATGCAGGTTTTATTTTATCAGTGCAGGGAATAGGTGTTTCCAACCAAACCACTTATTGTAAATATATTTAATTGTAGTTCATTAATTTATTCACAGTGTTATTGCTTTTATTTTAACACTTAGTTTAAATTAAGCGTTGTCTGGAATTGAGTTCCCATTTTCGATTTTTTTTAAACAAACTCTTAATTTATATGAAATATCTTAGGTTAGAACAGTAAATTTTATTCTGCAATATGGAGAATGCTCCTTGCATTCATTAATATCCCTTTATGCTGCAAGAAATGAACTTCCTTTCTTAACACTACAGACAGGAAAACAAAATGAGATTTTTTTTTTTAATCTTGCCACTGTGAAATTGGACTTTTTTTTTTTTTTCATTTAAAAATATAGAGAAAATGAAGCATTGACAGCATACGTTCCAAATTATCAGTTGATCCTCACAAATACACACTGACAATTACTGAAATTTTGGCAATTAAAAAAAAAAACAAATGGGAACTCCCTGCTACTTAACATCGTTCCTCCAAAGTGAAGTGTAATTTGCACCATCACTTCTTTATAGTACCAATGATACTTCCTTCATTATTACACCGTGGCATTGTTTGTGACAAATGATAAAAGCATCAGGTTCCCAGTAAATTTTTACAAGGTGGGCAATTATCCATCCATTAATACTCTTTCTTTTAGACCTGCAATGCTACCGTATGCTGCTTGGCACACCATGCATCCCAGGGAACAAATCCTCAGAACCTCATATGGCCACCCTGAAGGGCAAAGGATTGCAGTAGAGACTCCACTTTGTTGGTTACTTTGAAATAATTATTGGAGTTACTTATCCAGAATGCTTCCTTTCAATTGCCATTTTTGGGAGGGCTGTGTTATTCTTTTTTGTTCTATACTTTTGTTCTCTTACTCAGTGTGGTTCTGTTTCAGTGTTTATTGATTTGTACTTTGGTGTAGGGCTGTGACTACTATAAATCAGAGCACCAGCATCCAAGAGCATGCAACGCCCCTTGTTCACACTGCACATGAAGATGACCTGGCCATTTAAGTGCTTCTGGCAGTAGAAGTTTCTGGCCTAAAATCAACCTTGATTTTAGCTTGCAAACAAGTCAAAAGTGTTGTTTAATGTCATTCTTTCTCCTAATTTTGGTGTTGAAACCCCTATGAGGGATGGCAGTGCATAGTGCTAGTAACTCTGGCTGTGCTACATACACAGCAAGAGCGATGCAATAGGAGGCATTTACTCCTGATTTGGAAATTAGGGAGCAAGGATGGATGAGAAAGTCACCCCTTGAGGTGGGATTAAAGAATAAAAGTGGGATTGCAGCGGTATCCCAGAGAAAAGGCACACTGTGCATGCTGTGGGGTCACCACTAAATCGTTGTTCTGGTTGCAGACCCAAAGAGTGCAAACGTGCCCCAAGAAGAGAGAACGGAATGAGAAGATAAGCCAAGCTGCCAGCCCTGTGTCTGACTGTTGGATTGGGATTCAGGGCAGGAGTTAAGATGCTTCACATCCCAACAGCTGCACTATGTCTTCAGGATCTGAGAAACTGGACAAGACAACTGAAAAGGAATCCAGTTGTTTAAGCTTCGGCTGGGATTGTGTTTATATTTGTTTTGCTTGTAGCCTTTCGTTTCCAGCCTTGCAACTAAAAGCCTGACCTTGTCTTGCTTAATAAACCTCATGCAGAAGCTTTATTTTGTCATATACCGTGTTCCATGCCAAGGGGAAGATTGATGGGTGGGATCAGTGGGGCTGCAGAGCAGTAACACGTCCCATGGGTATTCATCCTGCCCTGTGCTGTAGCCCGAACATTGAATGGAGCTAGAGCTATGGCGTCTCCTGGCCAACACATCCTCTGCTCATGGGTATGCTTAAGTCTGGGGCTGTGCTTAAGTCTGAAGCTCCAGGGGCTTCACCACCATGAGTGTGGTTTGGGGGCTCACAGCTGGCCACCATGCTTAGCTCTACTAAGTTCCTCTCCAGCCACACATGCGAGGTTGGGTTATGAGATCCTACCTGCCCTGACTTTAGCTGGGTGTGCTGCTAAAGAAACCTTGAAGAAGGCCTGCCAGTGCCAAGCATCCCCTTACAGATCTTCTGTTGACATTGGAAGCTATTGCAATTCAAATTGGAAAAAAAGAAAAGACAAATCCAACTTACACACAGCATTGATGAGCCAGCACTGACTACAGCCACAGATGGGAGAGAGGACGGGGAATGGCAATACTGGTACTACATGTCTGAACCCTGTGCACTAGGGCAATCCAGCTGCCAAACTGGAAGGGGAACTTCCCTTTCTACAGCATAGAATGGCCTAGCAATGGGTTTAATTCACATCTACATTGTATTGACCTGAGCTACTTCATAGCTAAAGCTCCAACTATTTATCTCGAGACAAGATAATTCCAGGTAAGGTTTCATGTTAATGACCTTGTCTTCACATAATACAAAACCATCTCAGTGTAGTTCTGTACACACTGCTAGTACCAAACCAGAGCTAAGTCAACATAATATTTATGACCATAATGCTAAAAATGTGAGATTCAATTTAAAATTACTGAGCAGAAATCAGAATTTAGTAAGATTTCTTGTTAAGCCAGAATCCCACAACAGTAATAGCAATTTGACCCACATAACTTTTTTTGTTTCTTAAGTTCTACTATTACAGACCAATTATACATTCTTGAAAGAAATGTTATTAATTATTGAAATATTAAAAGCTGGAGTCATTGTTTTTCTCCACTTAGCATGCCTTTTAAGAGAGATTATAGAGAGAGAATCTTTTGATAGTCTTAAAATATTCACCAGTGCTAGAACAATTTAATGAAATTCACATTTATTTCAAGGATTTTTTTAATTAAATCTATTGGTTGTTGGTATCCGTAAACCCTTAAGAATAAACACCTGCAGTGTTTTATTATGTAAAAAGGTAGTTTAATTGCATCATATTTATCACAGACAAATCAAGCCCTATTCAGAAGATAATAATGACACAGTAATTGGACCAGTAATTGGTTCAGGATGATTCAATATTGTACTAATAATCATAAATACTACTGTCTCCTGCTTTGGTACAAGGCTGACACTATATTATAGATTGGATTTGGTGCAATAAATATTCGTGAACTGGGTCCAGCAGTGCCTAGGTCTTTAGTTCCACTGTGTTAGTAAATAACAGGTATCAAATAATAGTACATCCTACACGAGCAGTGATTCCTCACACATGGCACAGAGTATGCTGTGCTCTTTTCTGCCTCCAAAAATGGCCGGAATAAGCATCTGTACAGTAAAGAATCTCCTTGCATTAAGCATCAACATTTGCCTTGAGATGTTTCCACTCCAGGCAAACCTGGTCACACTCAGAGCCAGTTGTAAAGTAGACTCATTTGGTTTAAATCTTGTTTTCTTTGGCTTTTTGCCTGTTTGTTCCTATTTATTCTTATTAATAACAATGGGATAAAGGGACTGAACTGCAAAACGAATGCTGAACATTTAGCATCAAAGAAGACATAGGAGAACAGATAAAGTAACCCAAAACTGATCACTCCTAAGCTCCACAGTTGGTCAGGGAATAGAAACCAGTACCACCAGTGCTTTCTTAGAGATTGTCTCCCTTTCATGCATTTGCAGTATTGCCTTTGTTTGGCTGCTCTGGAATACAACTACCCCATGAGAGGCATTGCACTTATCCCTGCTGCTGCAGCCTCTCAGGACTCCATGTTTCCAGTATGAATGGTTTGTTTTTGGGAAACGGGATTATTTTGTGCATGGAAATACCACCTGAAAGTAACCACACCATCACAATGCTAATTGGTTGCTCCTTATTACTGTCTGTCACGTCAGCTATAAGGCCTGAGCTTCTCAAACACAGGTAGCCCTGAATGAAAGGACTCAGATTCATGCTTAGGCAGACAAAGATGAAAGAGATGGCAAATTTTCAATATGCTTCTTCCCTGGCTTTCACCTGAAGCTTCAGCCAGAGTTTTCCAGACTGCCCTGATGTGATCCTGCTTAGTATTGTGCCACTTCAAGTTCCCTATCACGTCAGTAAAAGCACTATTCATCCCAATTGTGCAATATAAATTGTCCCACTGGTACCCAACTGTAATCTACTTTTTTTTTTTTTCCTCTGTTTTTATTTGTATGGATAAAGTTATTATGCCAGTTTTATTATTTTCTTTCTTGCCTTGACTTGTGGAGAGGGGGAAGAAATCTAATCAATCAAACACAATACCATTATGGCAAAGGGCGGATGGTAGGAGGTGACATTCCCGTACCAATTGCTTGTTTATGGTGCCTTGATACAGTATAACGTGGCACACAAAGCCACTCACATGCCACTTAATGATAACTCTGAAAATCACGCCTGTCACCGCCGCATTCAGGGGAGGCTTGGCGGACCCTCAGCACTGCTCCTTCGCCAGGGCTGCGAGCTTTCAGAGGGAGCCAAAAGGGAGTGGAGCCTCATTATCCCCGAAACAATGATCCTTATTCACTACACAGAGAAACTTGCTTTTCATTGACGTATTATATAGCTCGGAGCTGGAATAGAGATAACGTATCCCCTTTATCACTGGAACAAAAGATTGGGGGTCTTTGCTCCTTTGCTTGGAATAATGCCCTCAGCAGCCCAAACTAGAGTGTTGTTGGGTTGTTTTTTTTTTTAAGTATTTACCTCTTTTCCTTGAATTGCTTTGCATTCAAGGAATGGTGCAGCAAGGCCCAGGTACAGGCAGCAGCCAGGCTGAGTACAGGGTTGAGATTTCATCTCTCTGTCCGTCATCTCGCACGCTGACACTGGCCCTCCCAACCAGAATACCTGAAGGATGGAGGAAGGGAGGGAGATGAGGAGTGCAGACAACCAAAGAGACATCTCATATTGCAAAGGGTACTTAGGGAAGCCTCTTAAGACTATATAGTGAAGGAGACATAGCATATGCACTAAGGCTGAAAGCAATCTGTACAAATGAAATGCCATGGCTGAATGGCATCAGGGGACCGGTTCACTCATAATGGAGTGAAAGTAATGGGGCCCAAACACACCCCAAGATAGTGGCAACTCTGGGAATGCATGCAACACCCTGTCATACCTTCCCGTTTCTTTTTTTCTTCCTCAAAGCTCCATCACAAAGTCAGTTTTTCACTTTGCCCAACTCTCTCTTACCTTTGCCTGGTGCGGGGAGGAGGAAAGGTGAGAAGACAGGAGAGCTATCACTGTGCACAGCCAGGCAGGCAGGCAGCAGAGGTAGCAGCAGAGGTAGAGGAACAGAATGTGTTGAAAGCATCATGATCCAGTGCCAGGAAATAACAGTTAGCATATCCCTGAATGACATTTACAGGAAACCTATGTTTCCTTTTCAGGGCCATAAGCTTCAACAAACTGGTGTGTTCAGTCAGCCCTTCCCCATGTACAGTATGGATGCCACAATTTTCTCAGCATATGCTCAGCTGCGTCCTTCTGATGGCATCCATGTTGGCGCTTTTCCATCTATAGGCATGGAGGGATGTCTTCATCTTCTGCAGGAGTCTGGGGCTACTGCCAAAGGCAGGCATCCAAGCACCGCAGGCAAGGAGAGGGGAGCGTTTTGGTTCCTGAATAAGGATTAGGCTTTGCAACACCTGAGCAGTGAAAATCCTGTGGAGCTTTAGTGGCCGGAGCCAGGAACCGCCGCAGCTCTGCTGAATATTGCTGAGTTGAGCCCCATTTAACCAAGGTGAGCGTGTGCTGCAGAGCAAATTGTAGAAAATTTGGGAAGTAAATGGCAAATAGGCAGCCCCGTGAAATGTCCGTATAAATGCCTCAATGACTTTGGCTCTGATACATTTCTAATGTGTAAGAGAGAACAATTTCATTAGCTTAACTCACTCCCAGTTCTCACCTAAGGAAAAATTGGGCCACCAGTGCTCCTCGTCCTAGAGCTGATTTAGTTGTGTGGAGCCAGGAACCCTTTGATCTTTTGTTATATGCTCCTGAGGAGCCCAGTAGTGCACCGTCCTGAGCAACAATACTAGTTAAATCCCTTTATAATTTGCTTTGTTTTTAATCACAAGCAGAAAAGGGGGAAAAAATCACCTCTCCCTTTTTTTGCCCTGGAGCTTATCTAGTTCTTGTCTTTTCACAGTATGGGCCAAAATGTGCTCTTCTTTCTTGAGAAAGGAGGATTGCAGTGACATAAACAGGATACCCAGACTTAAGGGCAGGATTTTGTCTACATACTCCTTTATCCACTGTACATTTATTGCACCTAATACATGTAGGGAAAGAGAATGGAATTTACTTAGATATTAAATGGCCTTAGAAATCATTCTTAACAAGGAATAAAGCATTTCCTTTACAGAAAATCACGCTATAGAATAAGTGCTTAAGTTAATTTAAAGAGAAAATTAGGAAAACAAAGGCGGAGTGCCGGAGATGTGGATAGGCATGCACCAGCTCACACCTCTGTGAGTTAGAGATGCAGAAATCCTCCCTCCCCTCCTGCCTGACCCATGTGCTTTGCTGAACTGAAAGGTAACTGTATTGATCGGCGGCCATAAAAGCCCAGCAAACACAAAGCAGCCAGAGGTGATAGAGATGTGAATTAAAAGCTCTGTTATGGCTCTCCACCTGATCAGGAGAACCCTATTTAGCTCAGCCCCTGGAAAGAAGTTGTCTTCCACTTTTGAGCCATTTTTCTTCTCCTCTTGCTTTTTC